GAGAGAGAGAGAGAGAGAGAGAGAGAGAGAGAGAGAGAGAGAGAGAGAGAGAGAGAGAGAGAGAGAGGAGCAACAAAAGAACAATGCCTAGAATAAAGAAAGAACAACAGAAGCATACAAAGGAAAAAGTTCAGTATGAAGATTTTTCATTCCATTGGAGTCAGCAATGGGCGCACTATGATGAAGGGCAGCGCAGATCATTACAGGGCAGATCATAGCAGAGCAGGGCAGAGCAGATCATAGCAGAGAAGAGAGTAGTGTAGAGCAGGGTAGAGAAGAGAAGAGAAGAGCAAAGCAAAGTAGGGAAGCGAAGAGCAAGGAAGCGTGGAGTAGAGAAGCGTAGGGAAGATAAGAGTAGAGAAGAGTAGGGAAACGTAGAGTGGAGGAGAGTGGAGTAGAGTAGAGTCGAGTGGAGTAGATTGGGGTGGAGTAGAGTGGAGTGAAGCGGAGTGGAGTGGAGTAGAGTTGACTGGAGTGGAGTAGAGTGGAGTAGAGTGGAGTGGAGTAGAGTGGAGTGGAGTGGAGTGGAGGAGTGTAGGTGAGTGGAGTGGAGACGAGCGAAGTAGAGTAGAGCAGAATGGAGTAGAGTAAGGCCGAGTGGAGTAAAGCAGAGCCGAGTGAAGGAGTGTAGAGTAGAGCAAAGCAGATAAAAGGAGAGCAGAGCAGAGTAGTGTAGAGCATAGCATAGCAGAGAAGAGCAGAGAAGAGTAGGGCAGAGCAGGAAAGCGTAGAGTAAGGAAGCGTACAATAGAGAAGAGTAGGGAAGAAAAGCATATGAAAGAGAAGAGCAGGGAAGCGTTGAGTAGAGAACAGTAGGGAAGCGTCGAGTAGAAAAGAGTAGGGAAGAGAAGTGTAGGGAAGAAAAGCGTAGGGAAGAGAAATGTAGAGAAGAGTAGAGCAGAGAAGAGTAAGGAAGTGTAAAGTGAGGAGAGTAAAGTAGAGTAGAGTAGAGTACAGTGGAGTAAACTGGACTGGAGTAGAGTGGAGCGGAGTAGAATGGAGTGGAGTAGAATGGAGTGGATTAGAGTCGAGTCGAGTAGAGTAGAGTGGAGTGGTTGGAGTAGAGGAGTGGAGTAGAGTGGAGTAGAATGGAGTGGAGTAGAGTGGAGTGGAGTGGAGGAGAGTGAAGCAGAGTAGAGCATAATGGAGTAGTGCAAGGCAGAGTTGAGTAGAGCAGAGCAGAGTGAAGGAGTGTAGAGCAGAGCAGATCAGAGGAGACAAAGTAGAGTAGTGTAGAGCAGAGCATAGCAGAGAAGAGCAAAGCAAAGTAGAGTAGAGAAGGGAAGCGTAGAGTAGAGAAGAGTAGGGAAGATAAGCTTAGGGAAGAGAACAGTAGAAAAGTGTGGAGTTGAGAAGAGTAGGGAAGAGAAGGCTATTGTAGAGTAAAGTAGAGTATCCTAGAGTACAGTAGAGTGGGGAAGAGAAGCTTAGGGAAAATAAGAGTGGAGTGGAGTGGAGTAGAGTAGCGAGTAGAGTCGAGTCTTATGGTTCCGCACGGCCCGCTGGAGGTTCGCCAGCTCGGACTGTAGGTGGTTACAAGTGTAAACCAACCTGGTCATGAGCTTGGCCATAAACTCCTTATGCTGCTCTTCTCGTGTTGCCTCGTCGCCATTCGGTTCAAAGTGCCAGAACTTGAGTTTGTCGATGCTGTTGGCTTCATGCCGCTGCAGCAGATCCTGGGCTTCCTTGCGGCGAGCCTGGGCATCTGCGTCTGCTTCGGCCTGTAGCCGCAGCTTCTCTGCTGTTGCCGCTTCTTCAGCCTGTAGCTGGGCAGCCGCGGCTGCCAGCTGGCGTTGTTCCTCAGCCTCGATGGAAGCGAGCTGAGCCTGGAAACGCTTTTTGTAGTCGGCAATAGGCTCATTGGCCAGTTGGCCTGGCAGGCCCGTCATGTTGCTGACGTGGCACTGCTGACGTGGCACTGTGTTTGACGTGGCACTGCTGATGTGGCACTGGTTACGTGGCACTGTGTCTGACGTGGCACTGCTGACGTGGCCTGCTGACGTGTCACTGTGTCTGACGTGGCACTGKGTCTGACGTGGCACTGCTTACGTGGCACTGCTGACGTGTCACTGTAGCTGACATGTCACTGTGTCTGACGTGGCACTGTGTCTGATGTGGCACTGCTTACATGGCACTGTGTCTGACGTGGCACTGCTGACGCGTCACTGTAGCTGACGTGTCATGTAACAACCCGGAAATGCATGCAAAGGGTGGGTGGGAGGGAA